GTGTGTGTGTGTGTGTGTGTGTGTGTGTGTGTGTGTGTGTGTGTGTGTGTGTGTGTGTGTGTGTGCTCTGTGATGAGGAAGCTCAGCTTGGAGATGCAGTCCAGAGATGGAGCTGATCCTAAAAGGCGGTTCTAGACCCAACCGGTTGTTTTTGCTCCCCTACCTGGCTGCCTCAGGACACTACAGGATTTCTCAAACATGCATGAATGAGTCAAAACAAGACTTTGGGCATGTTTTTGATGAGAGGATAACATTACAACATGATATAAAACTCAAAAAAAGTTGATTTTGCATGATATTGCCCCTTTAAAAAGTGTGTTGTAGGCTAACAGCTGAATATTTTTAATTGGGACTTTTATTACCAATACTGCAAAATCTTCTGATTTTATATAGGGTATAGTAGCCTTATATGTGATGCCCAGAGTGAATGTTAAAAAATAACACTAACACATTTTTTTTATTTAGCTCACTTTCTGCGTGTAAAATCCTAGCTCAAAGTTTGTACTAACATTTAGCTAATCATTCTTACATTTTGCTAATTTCACTAAAAGGTACACGTTATGTCTAAATGTTAAATCTTCTTAACGTAAAAGTTAAATCTGACATGTTGTGACTAAATGTTGAAGTTTCTATTTTAGTGTTTTGAAATGGAGCACAGCCTTTTCCATTGGTGCTCAGCTGCAACATTATCAAGCAACTGCTAACTTTGCTAAGGCTGCTAACTCTGCTAACACTGTTAAACATCAGACTTGCAGTTGTGGCCAATGTCCGAGTTGCACCTCCAACTGCCGGACCACAGGTACCATCCATATTATTTTCAATGAACACATTTTGAGTTTAAATTTTACATGCCATCTTCAGCATCATTAGGAGTTGCTTTTGCCACAGGACAGATGCCGCAACAAAAGCAGCTCACCAAAAAATGTGTTCCATTACAAAATTTGTAAATGCAATCTTTATCATTCAGCGTTTAAGGTGTAACTTTTACATTTAGGTTGCAATATTTTTATATATTATTTAACATTTAAATTAAAATTTACTAACTTAACGTTACTTCCACAATTTTCATTGTAAAAAAAAGGCTAAAATTGTGTGTGTGAATAAGTTTGACTATAACCATTTTTTCCATTCAACTTCAATAAGTCTCTGTGTTTATGTGCTGCATTTTGTAACGACACACGCTGTCATTCTCATCAGAAATTAATTATTTAATTACAGTCTATTCTGTAATTGTTTCTAATGGTGTTTTAATATTGAGATATAATGGAAAATCGGTGTGTGTTTCATTATTTTTTTAATTCCATGTAGTGAAAAGTATTTTGCTGTTTTGTGTGACTTTAGCATTTTGGCTGGTAACTAACATTATCAGGTGCTTTTAACAGTGACAGATTCAAGCAAAATTAGTTTCCCCAAATCAGGTTTAAACCAAAGAGTGAAAGGAAGAAATTAATGAAAAAGTGATTTTTTWAATTTTCTAAGACCAGCTCGTCACCGCAGTCAATTTCCTGTTCTGCTTTGAAGCTTAAAGCCCACAGCTTTCAAAAATGCGAGGCAGTGAAATGCATAGACAGGTCAGCTGGCGCCGGTACTAATGATTTTCAATTTTGAAGATGATGGAGTCCATACCTGGGCCAAATCTGAATGCGTGCTGCCTGTGCCTGAAATTTGTCTGAGCAGAAAGGGCTGCCTCACCTCCATTCCCCTTCTGTTTTCTAGTCTTTGTGTTCGACRTGGTTGGGCCTCTGAATGACAATAATCCAAAAAAAGTGCTACTTTTCTGCATGTCTGACCCATCAGCTTCAGAGTTGAAACCACACTCAGGTGCTAGATGGTCCATCTTGTTGCTCTGGTGTTTTGACAGAGGGTTTCTCCTGTAATCTAAACCATCTTCTCCCATCTTGCATTTTTTGCTGCCCAACACGTACACCTTGCTCCTTCCGTAATCCTCATTTGTTTTGGCTAATAGTCTCTTATCTGTGGTGGATTTGCAGCCAGGTGGGACACCAAGACGACAAGTCAGGACAGATGTGTGCAAAGCGGGTTTAACGTTTCTCATCCCATCGACAAGTTCTACAAGAGGAACACAAAGAGTCTTGTCCAAAAACACAGCAGAGCTGATGAACCTCAGAGGCACCTTGTGATGAATGCACACCTTATAGGAAAGCCGATTCTTTATTGTGGACCTTGTCACGTCCTGGTTTTTGTTCTTTTCTTGGTGTTTCAGTTTGCATTCAACATATTGCACTTTTGTCTTTTCTGAATYTTTCACTCCCAGTCCATTACCTGATAAGTGGGCCCATCTTAAAACATTTGGCTTAAAGATTGCAGGGCTTTGTTCGCAGGCGTTTAGTTGGGAGTCCGGAACTCTCATTGTAGTTAAAGAAATGGTTCCTCTCTCAAAGGTCTTTGTAGCTCTAGAGCAGCTTACACCTTCAGCAGGGTGGAAACCCCATCCTGGGATTGTCTGTCTGTAACCTGAGAACAGCTGGATGGTGTTGTTGCTTCAAAACATGTTCTTCTTTACCTCTTSCCTTAACCACTTTCTCCACAACAGGATGTTCGTGTGCAGAGGAGAAGAGATGTCTTTAACTTTACAGCTATAAAAAAGGGACAAAGACAGGAGAGAGATGAGCACTACAAGTTCAGATGATTTATCTGCAAACTACAATCAAACCAAAACAAGCTACAAATACAAAGGAGACAGATGTTGTTTTTATATATAGCTACTCATCTACTGTGACAGCTAGTGTTGCTGTGACAAAGGACAACATTGCGGGAACAATTTACCAATGATATTTAAAAATGAAAAGTTCAGGTTTGTCCTCTAAAAAGCAAGACAACATTCCTTCTCCTATTTTTTATTTTAATTTTAGTAAACAAACATCTTCGCAATGTAGGTTTACAGCATAAATTGGAACCACTTGCAGCTGTCCTTGGTAGGCTTTCTTGTGATTTTTTTCTTTTTCTTTTTCATCTGTGTTTGAAGGGCAAACAATAAAACATTATCCTGTTGAATTTGCATACATGTACACAAAAATGATTGACAAACCACTTAAACTGTGCCAGAACTGTCTATTTGATAGGGCAAAAATGTAAATATAATAACACAATTACAGAAGTTTAACTTATTATACAGATGAAATGTTTTTTTTCCCGCAAACTTTTTGTTTTGGCATTCTCTTGATAAAGCATTTTTTCCTCACGAAAAACACAGTACACAGTATAAATGTGCATATATTTAACAACATTCTGAGCAGTGAGACTTGTAATGGGTGAGTATCTCCATTTTTATTTGACTCATTGGTATGACACCTCTTCCTTTCTCATCTGTCATATCACAGCAGAAACATAAATAGAGCGCCACCGTTTTTGATTTCCACAGGCTGACACAAACTAGATAAGAGATAAATGTGTTCACATGAAAGAGATCCTGCTGAACAAGAAAACTAATCATCACATAAAATATACTCATTTTGTGATAAAAAATAAGATTGTATTTTACCAACACTATTTAATGTGTTTGCTTGTCTGTTCTGTTARCAAAACATCAGAAGAACCACTGAAAGGATTTGAATGAAACTAACTCTTCAAGTCAGTCACTTTCAGAACCAACTTCATTCAAGATGGCAACCACAGCTAAGTGAGCTTCATAAACACAAAAAATGTCAAGTTGCACAAATTATTACATGGACTTCCCCTCATTTAGCACATACAGTGGTTTGCAAAAGTATTCATACCCCTTGAACTTTTCCATATTTTGTCACATTACAACCACAAACATAAATRTATTTCACTGGAATTTAATGTGAAAGACCAACACAAAGTGGTATACAATTGTGAAGTGGAAGCAAAATTTTACATGAATCAAAACATTTTTTACAAATAAAAAACTGAAAAGTGCGAYGTGCAAAAGTATTCAGCCCCCTTTTCCCTGAGTGCAACCAATTGCATTCAGAAGTTGCCTGATGACTGCTAATGACTCAAAAGGGTCCACCTGTGTGTAATCTAATCTCAGTACAAATACAGCTGCTCCGTGACGGCCTCAGATGTTGGTTAAGAGAATATTGGGGAGCAAACAGCATCATGAAGTCCAAAGAACACACCAGACAGGTTAGGAATATGGTTTTGGAGAAGTTTAAAGCAGGCTTAGGTTATAAAAAGATTTCCCAAGCTTTGAACATCTCACGGAGCACTGTTCAATCCATCATCCGGAAATGGAAAGAGTATGGCACCACAGTAAACCTGCCAAGACAAGGCCGTCCACCTAAACTTACAGGYCGAACAAGGAGATCACTGATCAGAGAGGCAGCCAAGAGGCCCATGGTGACTCTGGATGAAATGCAGAGAGCCACAGCTCAGGTGGGGGAAACTGTCCACAGGACAACAATTAGTCGTGCACTACACAAATGTGGTCTTTATGGAAGAGTGGCAAGGAGAAAGCCATTGTTAAAAGAAAACCATAAGAAGTCCCATTTGCAGTTTGCCAGAAGCCATGTTGAGGACACAGCAAACATGTGGAAGAAGGTGCTTTGGTCAGACGAGACCAAAATTGAACTTTTTGGCCACAATGCAAAACGCTATGTGTGGCGGAGAAAGAACACTGCACATCACTCTGAAAACACCATCCCCACTGTCAAATATGGTGGTGGCAGCATCATGCTCTGGGGGTGCTTCTCTTCAGCAGGGACCGGGAAGTTGGTCAAAGTTGATGGGAAGATGGATGGAGCCAAATACAGGGCAATCTTGGAAGAAAACCTGTTGGAGTCAGCAAAAGATTTGAGACTGGGGCGGAGGTTCACCTTCCAGCAGGACAACTACCCTAAACATAAAGCCAAAGCTACAATGGAGTGGTTTAAAAAAAAGAATATTCATGTGTTAGAATGGCCCAGTCAAAGTCCAGACCTAAACCCAATTGAGAATTTGTGGCAAGATCTCAAAACTGCTGTTCACAAACGCTCTCCATCCAATCTGACTGAGCTTGAGCTGTTTTGCAAGGAGGAATGGGTAAGAATTGCAGTCACTAGATGTGCAAAGCTGGTGGAGACATACCCTAAAAGACTTGCAGCTGTAATTGCAGCAAAAGGTGGCTCCACAAAGTATTGACTCAGGGGGGCTGAATAATTTTGCACATCGCACTTTTCAGTTTTTTATTTGTAAAAAATGTTTTGATTCATGTAAAATTTTGCTTCCACTTCACAATTGTATACCACTTTGTGTTGGTCTTTCACATTAAATTCCAGTGAAATATATTTATGTTTGTGGTTGTAATGTGACAAAATATGGAAAAGTTCAAGGGGTATGAATACTTTTGCAAACCACTGTTTATAAATGACAATCTTGTATATTATTTTCAAAAACTTTGTTTCCAATTGATTTGAGTCTCAGAGCCGGCAGTTTATGAGGAAATCCTCGTCCTTCCCTCCCTGCTTCTCTGTCGCTGCAGGAGCTGTTTTCTGCGCTCCCACCTCTTCTCTCCACAGCTTTAAACCCAAAACCCGCCTCCCTGTTGAAATGTGTGAGAGAACTATAGATTTGTTTTTGTGAAAATTACAGATTTCTCAGGGTTCAAGATACAGGTAAATGTCAGAAGGAGTTGGCACGTTATAACTCAGTTAATTTTTCTGACATTTAGTTAAAACATAGTGTGGTAGTAGCTGAAAGTAAGTCACACACTCTGAGCACTGCACACTGCATTACATTACAGCTTTCACCCCTGTTTGTAGAGCTCAGCAATATTAGACAGTAAAGTTGAAATCCTAATAACTTAACACTTTAAGTAACACAAGTGCTGAAAAAATGCTTGTCGAACAGGCAGAACATTAATTTTGGGTCACACAGTAGCCGCGACACCAAGGCCTCGCAAATTAAACTCATGTTGTTGTCTGGTTAGGCTGTCTGGTAGAACTTTACACTGTGTATCATGTAATGCATGAAAAATAATTATGTTTCACTTTGATTTAAACCACAAGGGGGTGAATGTGACCTTGGAACGTAGTAACACAAACCAGACATTTAAGCCCCACCCATTTTTTTCTTGGATTTACATACACAATCAGCAAGCCAGAGAAATAATTGTATAAAGCTGCGTTCTTAAAAAAAAGTAGTTAAACTTCTAAAAAGAGTGCATTTCAAACAATCAAAGTCATGCAGAAGCTGCCACATAAAAAAGTCAAAAATCCACACCGGAGCGAACCCTGGCATAATGAATGCCGATAGTCTTTTATTCAAAGATAGACATTATACCAAACAGCATATTCAATAAGGTACTTTGCATAAAAGTATTACATTACTAAATAGTTAATGTACTGTTTGCATATTTTGCGTGCTCTTTCATGAGTTCAGAGGACCATTTTCTTTGTTTTATATGAAATACGAGCAACTTCACAGCAGACAAATTACATGAAAGCCTAAATAAATCTGCGAGGAAAACAAGTGGATCCATACAGCTCCCACAACAACTGAGCAGTACCACTGTGTTTGATTCTATTTAGAGCTGATTCTATTTAGTTCTGATTAAATAGAGAACTTTGGCAGCTTGCACAATCACATTTGTTGCTGTTATAGTTACTGCATGCTAAAATCTGCAGTCGGCCAGCAAACAAGCATGGGCGTAACCGCCATAGATACAGAGTGGGACATGTCCCCCCCACTTCCCATTTCTGTGCCCTCTGTCACTCCCACTTATTTCAACCGAAGCAAAAAAAAGACCTTTAAAAATGTGTCCCCCCCCCTCCCACACACACACACACACACACACACACACACACACTTTTAGGATGGTGATTACACCCTTGGAAACAAGCTTGCTCAAAGGAACCTAGAGTATTTAAACAATACTTTACCTTGATGGCTTTTAAAAACAAAATCACATGATGGAAATGTAGTTC